CCTTTGCAATTCATCACCTCTGGTGGTTGACTAGCCAGATGGACACTAAACACAAGTCATTGAGTTCCATCAAAGCATCCTGACACTCATTTAAAAAACCAGTGTGGCTTTTCCTCGCAAGCAAGTTTGAATTAATCCATCTCCACATGAAACTAATTTGGGTTTAAAACATCGTTATAGCTGTATTGCGGGTCTATGGATCTTATCCAGCAATGGGAGATAATTAAAGCTTTAGAATTGTGGCAAGTAGCAGTTGATTTAGTACTTTGTAATACAAAATAGCCTGTGTTTTTAACTCTGAGTCTCCATATCTTTTCCATCCGTCATTTTCTAAGAAATAATGTGAAATTTAAAGAAGTTTTAATAAAAACCTATGGTGCAGTATGTTTTTTATTTTGTAACTCTATCTTCTTAGGATCTCGCTATGCCACGTACTATGCCTAGCTAAGAAGACAGAATGAGCTATCATAAAGCTTGACCCACTTAGAGACACTGATGAGTGGCCAACCATAATACCCTGGGTCTCTAATACTTTCCCTTCTTGCATGTGACTGAGTGTTTATCTCAGTGTTAACCCCATGAGTGAATCTGAAGGGAGTGAGGACACATTCTAATTGTGTGTACCCATTGATTTGGAGCTCCGAGCACAGACTCAAGGCAATTTAAAAGGCCTTTTCTTTTCCTCAGTCAAGCACTTTGTTTCAGTTTTCCATTCCTTTTAATTTTTATATTGAACTTAGTTACGCTCACGTCACTGTTTCTTATGTTGTTCCCCAGCCTTTATGTTAACTGTTTGCCTGTCTTCATTTCTGGAGTTAGATCCTCCTTAACCTCTATCCCCTTTGCTAATGACTACACTGATCTAGAAAGCAGTCCAGAGCATAGCGTAAAGTCACTTCCTATCTTAATCCAATGTACCTTTGGATAACTAGTCATCCATTATTGTTCCCTGTTGCGCCTACCTTTATTCTACCTTTTCCTCTTTCCTTTCCAATGATTGACCTGTGATATGCTCCCAGTGTAAGGATGACAAACTTCAGTAATGTAGGGGAGAAACTGGGATTTTTCTGTTCAATCAAGAGAAGGTTAAGAGGAGATTTATTAGCAGTGATTAAAGTGATGGGGAGTTGTGATGGAGCAAATGCAGAGAAACTGTTTCAGCTGGCAAGAGTGATCGCGAAACACAAGACATAAGATAACTGGCAAAGAAACTAGAGGGAAGATGTGGGGGGGAAAAAGTTTTACAGAAGTTTTTATAATCTGGAATGCACTGCCTGAAATGACAGTGGAAGCTGATTCAATGATAACTTTCAAAAAGTATTTGGATGAATGCTTGAATGGCTGTATGACTGACAAAAAAACCAGGTCTTCCCTGTGAATGCATGGACCACATTCTGATTTGGTGTTGGCCACCAAATGTCAAAGGTTTCAGAAGAAATAGGAAAAATAATGTGGGAGGAAAATTATATTCTGAAATGTCTTATTGAATTTATGCAGTAACTGCATTAAATAGAAATTTCCCCTTTTGCTTAATTTTCAACTGTTAGACATTGCTTCTTTATGATAAATAGAATATTTTGATAGCATAAGTTCTGTTGAGAAAAGTACTGTTATTTTTGATATAGCTATTTCAAGCATCTAGACAATGGTACAAATGTGAATATGTGTGTGATTGTTCAGACCTGCAGGAAGTGCACTGAGAGATGGATAAGTATCAGCAAGCTGCAATTTGCTGCCTTGGCCCGTACGGCCTCTGTCTCTTCTCCAGAATTGCCTTCACTCCACCCAAGATCCCGGTTTGGAGAGGTGGAAACATGACAATTGATTGTGCTCACTCCTGTTAGCTACGGGAGATTTAACAAGTGCCCACCACTACCATCCCCCGCCACTCCCCCTGCTAGTTGTCTACTTTCTCGCTGTGACTTTGACATCTCTCTCTCTTTCTCTCTCTCTCTCATTCTCCCTATTACCTTTTCCCTCTGCTCTCTGGATGCAGCCAAACGTAAAGCATGGAAACTAAACCGTGTAGGTAGCTTGCGAAACATATACAGCAGCAGCAGCACCAGCACCAACACAGAAGGTAATTAATCCAAGAGGAACACCAACTTAAACCTGATCACCGAGTAGAAATTGGTATTAGTTTGCCTGGAGCATACTTGCCTACTTGTGTGGGCTTTTATTTTGTTTGTGTTTTGTTTTTGTTTTATTAAACTGCTTCATTTATGTCATACATGTTCCTGTTTTCTTTACTTAAATTCTGACCTTTCCACTAGCTGTGGAATAGTGATGTTTAAATTACTTCAAGAAACCCATTTCCCATTCTCACCACTGCCCCCCCCCTTCCTCCCTATTCCCTTTTTGTACATGTTGGCATTCGATGTAATATTTTTCAAGTTATTGCAGTTTAAGGTGCAAGTAGCAGGTGTAATGATCTGTGGCAAAATACAATCGTGTGCTGTGACATTTAAGTACAGTATTTAATTTGTTTTGCGAAACGTTGCCTGTAATGCTCTTTGTAGCTGGCCTCCAATCCAGATCTGGTGCATGCTAGGTCATTTGCATGTTCAGGTGCTTTATAGTCTATACTGTTATTCTGCACTGCTGAAGGTCAACCAAGTCAAAGTTCATAAATTGACTTGAAATGCTTTCAGCAAAGGCGGCAATCACATGTTTGTTTAATAGAAGATTGAGTTTTTTCATTTGTACACGAAAATTATAAATTAGTTTCTTTCTTTATACAAAATGTCAAGAGGCCAATTTATTCAACTGCCCGAAATCCATTTTAATACATGTAGTCCTGAAATTGTATATGATATACAGAATGCAAGGCTGGTCACATTCCAGTAAGCCAACCAGTTGGGTAATGTTGTCACTTTAAATGGAAAGCGAATGGGTCAAGATAATCGTGGTGCTCTTGCCATATTACTTACAGACAGCTTCTGTGGTGGTTTTAATAATTTCCTGATTGTTCGTGTTTTTCCTGTCTGTTTTCTTAATGTGTGAAATTCCGCCACAATGAATGGAGCCTGAGGCCTTCAGTGTATTTTTTTTAATATAAGCCACAAGCGTTAGTTGTATGCTTGTATTTGAAATTGTAATTTTCATTGCTTTTAAATAATTGATTCTGATTTGTTTTGGAAATATTTTGTTATATAATACAGCTTCTCTTTTATCACCAATTGGCATATGAATAAATGATTGAATTTGTACTGTAAAGTGTGGAATCAGCCGCAAGTGATTGAGGCCCCATTGTTACTTGATGCCCGCAGCAGGAATTCAAATGTCAGTATTTACTCAGTCTTTTGCTTAAAAAATGCATTATTGCATCACTATTGGTTAGAGAATTTCAGCATTGGTGATTGCCATTGCATTTTAGAAGAAATACACTCAGCTCTGACATTTTACTGCTCTCACATGAACTCTTACATCGATACTGGACCAGTTACCTCCTCCTGTACTATCAGCAGAACTATCTAAAGAGGCAGTGTGTATGGAATTTTACAGCACAAAAATAGACTATTTAGTCCAAACGCAACCACTTCTTGAGTTCTATGCCCAAAGGCAGGTCTGATCCACAATATCACAACCTCCCCCGTGGGCAGGGCAAGGGAGTAGGTCTCGAATCTACCCCAGTCAAAACAGAGATTGAACTCTGTGCTGTTGGCACCAATCTGATCCACTGCTGTCTTCTCCTTCCCATCCTGCATCCCCCCAGACACTAACCTCTAGTTACTGTGGCAGCCATTATTTGAACGTGCTTGTTACAGCTTCGAACTGGGAACAGTGGTAGTAGAGGCTCCAATTCCTTTCCATTCCATGACTGACCAGTCACCTCTCCCACCTTTACGACTGGCCAATGGCAGATGGAAGGATTTCCACATTGAAACTTGACCTTGTTTGGCCTCATTAGAAAAGCACATTCCTTGGCCATCAAGTCCTGGAGCAGGACTTTAGCTCAGAGACAGGGCCACAATGAGTCTTACCATTGGGTTTGCCACTGAGCAGGGAACTGACAAAGATATATTTATACCCTGAGTTTCAGATTGTCCCATCAGCAGAAACATCTTACATGAATCCATCAAGAACTCTTTTAGAATTTTGAAGACCTTTAGCATGTTTCCCCTCTGCTTTCTCTTTTTAGAGAAACGAGCTACAGCATGTTCACCATTTCTTGATAGTTGTTCCTTTTCAGATTTGGCATCATTCTTTAAGCAACCTTTTCACTTTTTCCAATCCTTCAGTGGGTCTTCAAGTGTAATATGGTGAAAATGCTGAAGAACTCCTGCAAAGCCTGAAATAGTTCTCAAGGAAGTTCGTAGCCCCTCAGTCATTTTTTGCAAAGTAGAGAGCTCCTCTCCATATTATGTTCTTTGATTGTCCAGATGCTGTTTGTGACTTTCTGTTTAAATTATATGCGGGAGTGAGTAATCTTCTGATGCCCTTTAATGTTAGCTATCAGGTTGCAAGGGACTCCTTTGAAACTAGTCAACTTTTCAAAGCTGCTTCTGAATGATACCAGTAATTCCTAATTATGCCTCTGTTGTCTCTGTAATAGATGATGAATAAAAAGGGGTCAATTTTCTTCTAGTAATCACTTCCAAATGTTAACCCTCCTCTTTAACTGTTTAGCTTCTGATCCCAATATAATCTAATAGACATGTTAGACCCATTAGCCAGTGAAAGTTCAGTGGTTAAGTTTCACTTGGGAAGCCCAGTCTTATTCCAAAGTTTTCTTAACCCTTTATGTGCTTGACTCTGAATACTGTCTCATTTACAACTTGTTGACCTTTTGGCCATATGCTCCTGCATTTTCTCTCTGACCTTTACCTGCTCCAAACTGACTCACGGAGTATGCAGATTGAAGCAATTTGCGAAAAAAAACTGAGGCTTTGGGTTCAAGCAGGTGTTAACAAGCTCCCACATCCCAGCTGACCACCATAGTCTCCTATGGCTGTGTTTCTCCATTTATTCAGACTATTGCTTTTTGTTTTCCTTCACAGAGCAAGAAGAGAATTTTGAATTTATAATCGTTTCTCTCACGGGCCAGACCTGGCACTTTGAAGCTGCTTCTTATGAGGAAAGAGATGCATGGGTCCAGGCAATTGAAAGTCAGATTCTGGCTAGTTTGCAATCCTGTGAGAGCAGCAAGAATAAGGTAATTTTCCCAAGCTCCTCTGTTCTACTTGGCTTACTGACAATGTTCCGGTGTCACATGCACTGTAACTGCTTCCTCTCTTTAGGTTTTTTCCATTTCATAGCTGTGGTACTGAAAGCCAGAGCGCTCATTACTTTTCAGTAAAGTTCCATGCTATTAAAAGGACAGTTTGCTCATGGCACTTCCAATTTAAATATCTGTACATTATTTCAACCAAATCTAAATTTAGTGTTGGCACCTTCAGTTCATGGTTCAGACCATATTTCTTTGTAAAGAAGCCCCAGTTAAAGTCTCATTGAAAAGCTGTTATAGGTTAAAGAGTAAAATGAAAGTTGATGTAAAATTTAGCACCAAGATTGCACAGAATAACAAATACTCCACTCCCTTTCATTAGTTTGCTGTTGGAGCTTTAATTTTGTTCTGTATATAACAACCCAATTAGAGCAGTCTCTAGGGAGAGCCAAACAGTGATCTTCAATTGGTTTACAAGATCCATTAAGGACAGTGGGCGCCACTAAACAGCCCTATGTTTCCACAGCGCTAATCTATCTCGTGCAGTTTGTTAGTATTTATAGTAAAATGCAAGTTTCTTGAGTACATTTTCTGGTAAATGTGCAAGGAATGGACCCTGGCTTTCTGCACTTTGTACCTGGATGTTTAAAAAGACGGAATGCAGTGATCCCTTATGTTATGAAGGTTTTGTTCATTATCCTCAAAATTCATGCAGTGTTGTTACTGGCAGAAACATAAATAGTAGAAGGCTATTGAGCCCTTAGAGCCTCTTCCACCATTCAGTTGGACCACAGTTTCATCTACCACCTTGGTTCTGGAGCAATTAGTGACAAAAATCTTTCAATCTCAGTTTTGAAATTTTCAGTTGAACTTTGACTCAGTGGCATTCTGAGCAGAGAATCCCAAAGTTTCATTACCTTTTATGTAAGAATGGTTTACTCCCAACACCCCTGAATGCCCTGACTCAAATTTTAAGATTATGCTAAAATACTTTGACCATCAATATTACTGTCTGTACTTCTCTCGGTTTTCTTTTTTTTGCAGTTTAACGTGTTGAGTATATTAAACGTGAATTCTACTATGAATGATCTCCCGACCCTGCAAATATCAACACAGACCTGTGTTTATTTGTGAAACATTGTTTTCCTGAGATTAACTAACCAGTGTGATCATTGTAAAAACATTCGGCTTAAATAATTTGCTGTGGCTGCGTTTATTGGCGTTGACTGTATCTGTCTATTATTTTGCCATTGCTTAGTCACGACTGGCAAGCCAGAATGAAGCCATCGCTATTCAGTCAATCAGAAACATTCGTGGCAACTCTCATTGTGTGGACTGCGAGGCATTAAGTAAGTGATGAAAAGACATTTTCTGTCAGATGTTGTTTCCTCCTTCTTCCGTGTTTCATTCCTCACCAGAGAGAATTTCTAGGAGATCACAAAATCGTACAGCACAAGAGAAAGCCATCAGCCCATTACCTTTTTGTGCCAACTCTTTACAATTAGTCCCACTTACCTACTCTTTCTTTTTAACTCAGCAAATGTCTCCTTTTCTTCATATTTCAGATCAAGTTCCCTTTTAAAATTTATTATTAAATCTCCTTTTAGTTAGTACGTTCCAGCTAGTCTCACCCTGGCTTTTTTTCTTCTACGTTCTCTGGTTGGTTTCTCTCTCCCCGCCTCCCCCCTCCTCCACCGATTTGTCTCATAATTTTTGAGTATCTCTATTAAATTTTCTCTTATCTGGTCGAAGGAGAACAGTCCCCTCTGTAGCCACTCCACATAACTGAAGTCTCTGGTTCTCTTCTTGTAAATATCTGCACCTGCTCCAAAGCTTTCCCGATATTTCGTGCCCAGAATTGGATGCAGTACTCCAGCAGAGGCTTAACCATATCATAAATTATATGCACAGAAGTAGTTAATGACAGAACGGTACACTTGAGTGGCTAACACAGTCATGCTTGGCAGCATTCTTTGAGGGTTTCTGCAGACCACTCTATCAAGTTTCCAGCACTATGAGGCCAAAGACCCTGCTATAACAATGTCTAGTAAGCACAGTTAATTGGATAAAAGATATGTTTTGATCATAACAACAAGGGATCCCCTTATGGGGCTCCTATAATACAGCTGTCAGTGTTAAACGTGATATCATGCTAATCTACGTGTCTACTGTGTCAGATAAATACTGTAAGTTTTAAATGGAATGGTGCCTTTTGGGGGCACACTGTATTTCCCATATAACTGATAGATCTATCCAAAGTATCACTGAGCCATAAAAAACAAAAATGTCTCCGTTTTGATTCCTGACCTCAGCAGGTTAACAGTCTGAGAAAGTGGCAAGTATTAGAAAGTGTTAAAGGTGGCTGACGCTCCTTGGGTTAATGATTCCATTTACTGATAATTTAACATAGAATCATGGGATGATACTGCATATAAAGAAGCAATTTGGCCCATTTACACCATGCCAGCTTATTCTAAAAGCACTCCCAATGTTCTTTCCCCATATCCCTGCAATCTTGCCTCTTTTAGGAATTTCGAGTTCCCTTTTGCTGGCTGCTTTTGAATCTGTATCCACCACCCTAACAGGCATTGCATTCTGAATCCTAACCACTTGTTGTATAAAAGTTTCATATTGCCTCTTGTTCTTTTGCTGTTCATCTGAATTGGTCTCCTCCAGCAATACCCCTGAGGCATTTGAGAAGGTTTCTCATTATTTGCACTATCCAAACCCTCAATGTTTACAACCACTTTGCCTAGCCTACTACAAGGAGAACAACTCCATTTTCTCCAGTCTATCCACATAACTGTATTCTCTCATCCCTATTACATTGTCTCAGCAACTTCTCCTGAAGTCACCAGGACCCAGTGCTCAAATAAAAATATTATAACAGAGGATAAGATTGTCCACAGAGAAAAGGATTCCCATTGTCCAATTTGAAGACACACATAAAGGGACATTTAGTAAGTAGGATTAGTAGCATCTGTGGAGAGTGAAAAAGAGTTAGCTTTACAGTTTGTGACCCCTTGATCAGATGAAATATTAACTCTTGTTTCTGTCTCCTCAGCTGACAGCTGCTGCCAGACATGCTAAACATTTCCAACATTTTCTGCTTTTATTTTAGATTTCAGTGATCCATGGTATTTTGCTTTCGTGTTGATGTTTAATACGCACCTTTTAGTTGGCTTTTTACTGCTTTGATTTCTGCCAGATCCAGACTGGGCCAGTTTGAACCTAGGAGCCCTCATGTGCATTGAATGCTCAGGTATCCACCGCAACCTTGGCACCCATCTGTCACGGGTCCGCTCCCTTGATCTTGACGATTGGCCCCTGGAGCTCATCCGAGTAATGTCATCCATTGGGAATGAAGTAGCTAACGGCATCTGGGAAGGAAGTGCTCAGGGACGCACCAAACCCTCACCAGATTCCACAAGGTACGTGCATTCATCTCTGTTCATTAGTCTTGAATTGATTCTGAGCCATACTTTTGTTATATCCAGACAGCACTATTCCAATACTGCCCTCGCTGGCCTGTTCTGTCTAAAATTGGGCTTATCTAAAGCACTGCTGCTCATACCTTTCCTCATACCATATTCCTTCAACCACCACCCTGTACTATCAGGCCTACATTTGCTCCAGAATTTTAAAATTCTGGTCTTAATGATTCATTTTCTCTACAGCCTTGCTCTTCACTATCCCTGTACATTGAAACATGAGCCAAAGATTAAAAACTGCTCTGCTACTGAGATATTTTATGTGTATAGTTGCTTGGCTACTACAAAGTACTACTTTGTAAATAGGTGGAAAATATCGTACAGCTCGATCATGATATTCCAGCTAAAACTGGAAACTAAGTTTATTTACAAGATTTATAATTACACCGAAGCAGAAAATAACACAGGTTGGCTTTCAGCAATATAATGCTTTGACATATCACTGTCGTCAACTGACCCAAAAATAAAAACTTGATTCCCTTTCAGTATCTATTAACTGTCAATCAGAAGTTCGCTTCATGCCTGACAGAGAAGTGATGAAACATACAACATACAACATAGAAATGAATGATTGAATGAGGGGAACTCCTGAACAGGGAGAATTTGCCTCACTTGTATAACTGTGAGCAGCTCTTCGTCATCTCAGATCAGAACAGTCCTTTCATACTCAACATGTAAATATGTTCAAAGTCAGTTTTAAGTTTCAGGCAGATAGATTCTGAACAGCAGGTCACTATAATTTGTATGGGTTTATTTTTAACACTTCGCTTATGTGTCACATTGCTGGACCTCGAGGACAACTTTTTTTGTGCCTGTTAGCTTTCTGCACATAAAAGCAACATTTCAAAGCCAGAGGATAATTTCTGATGTAATTAACATGTAATAAGTTCCCTCCATGAGATAAGTTAAACCAAAGAGCTCCCACAGAAACGTACATATCCCTAGAGGATAGGGATTGCTTTAATTCAATCCTTCACACAAGGCAGAAGAGTACCTTTTAGGAGACAGCCGACAATTTTACTTTATATTTGCAATATTTAGGTGGAGGATGGTTAACTCGGTTGGCTACATAGTTAGTGTGTGATTCAGAATAATACGGACAGAGACTGCTCAAATCCTGTTCCAACCAAGGTGGAATTGGGATCTGCCTCCTTCCCCTTACTATAAGAATGGAAGGCAGTAGTAAACCATCTCTGACACTATCTGCTGAGGAACACAGGATGAAGCATCGACAGACACTAAGGCAAGTACCAGACCTCTGGCAAAGCACACATGAAATGGAACAATATCTTGGCCCTTAAAATTTTATGCCAAACCGTTATGAGACTTTAAGTAAAACTGGAGTTACATTGTGTTATTTTTTGCATTTCTTTACTACTGCATTTCCAAAAATTTCCATCCTGTTTTCACCCTGCATTTCCATCTCTTTCTGTTATTCTAGCATGTTAATCACTTCCTCATCATTTTGTATAATTATGTAAACTTAGCTCCTTCTGGAGTAAAGGAGCAGGAGAAGGCTATTCAGCCTTGGTTCTATTCATCTTCATCCTTTTACTGAACAAAAATTTAGACATCTCAGTTCTGAATTTTTAATTGACCTCAACCTCATCATTGTTTGTGGAGGGAGAGAATTACAGATTTCCACCACCTTTCGTGTTAAGAAGAGCTTCCTGTTGTTACCCACTGAACAGTGCCCCTCTGATTTTAAGGTTGCATCCCTTTGATCAGGACACCATCCAGCAGAGAAAATACTTTTTCTTTGAAATGTTTAAGGATTTGATAAGATAGACAATTAGATGACCAGTTGACCTTAAATACTCAAAAGTCTCTTTCACTGTGGTCCATTCTGAGAAGCTTCACCAAGCAATACCTCCAAAGGTGTGAACTCTCAACAATAGATTGAGGTCATAGTCATAGTGTTGTACAGCACGGAAATAGACCCTGCAATCTAACATATCTGTGCCAACCAGATATCCTAAATTAATCTAGTTGCATTTGCCAACGTTTGGCCCATATCCCTTAAACCCTTCCTAGTCATGTATCCATCCAGATGCCATTTAAATGTTGTAATTGTAACAGCCATCACCACCTTTTGCAGCTCATTCCATACATACATCACCCTCTGCAAGAAGAAATTGCCCCTTAGGTCTGTTTTAAATCTTTCCCTCTCACCTTAAACCTATGTCTTCCAGTTTTGGATTCCCCTACCTTGGGGAAAAGATCTTGGCTGTTCACCCTATCCATGCCCCTTATGATTTTATAAACCTCTATTAGGTCACCCCTCAGCCTCCAACACTCCAGGGAAAATAGCCCCAGCCTATTCAGCCTCTCCCTATACCTCAAACCGTCCAACCATGGCAACATCCTTGCAAATCTTTTCAGAACCCTTCAAGCGATCGTTTTTGTTCTTGAAAACTTTAAAGGGCAGGTGGTGGTTTTAGGTCTCATTTTCAGTCATATAATCAGGAAAATAAATACCAGTAGATGCCAGATACTTGGCTGCCCAAAGTAGGGAGACTGGGCAATGGATTATCTTTGGCCTACTCAGCCTGCATGGTCTTAGCTGTATTTTGTCCCAGTAGCAGAGTAGTGTGTGTTTTGGGGATTTTTGGAACCTTTTAAAATTTCTTGTCTTTGTAATTTATAGAGCAACTTCAGTAGAGATATTTGCAGATAATGTAAGCGGCAGCAACCAAAGCAGAGATCAAACTCTTAATAGCTGTGGGTTTTCTTTTATCAGTGACTTATAGTCTTGTATTTTGAATGCTCCTTAAGGACATGGAATTGGAGCAGGAGTCAAAGTATATCATACACTACACAGTCATGATAGAAAACGGCAAGGATGAAATATATGACCACGTGTAAATATTGTTTCATATTATAAATGAAGTATTGTTATTGGATCTCAAAGCTTTCAGCCTAATTTGTCAGATGAGATTCATGGGTGCCTGTCTACTTTTCATGCAGTGTTTGCAAACATGGGTGTGAACATTGTGCAGAAACTCATACTGCCCAAACTACTTAACCTGGGACATCTTATTCAAAGACAATGGGCCTTCCCTCCACTTGGAAATCCAAAGACAAGCACTTCTTCCATTGTTTGATCACACTAGTGAGTTGTATGGCTAACATCAATATTTTGTTCACAGTGATTAGCAAGTCTAAATCCAGTCCTTAGCCTTTCTTTTAGAAAACGTATGGCACTGAAGAAGGCCATTTGGCCCTTCATGTCTACGCTTGATTTAATGAAAGTCTCTCCATTCTCCTCTCACTTTCCAAGTCTTGATGCATAGCCCCCAAGGTTACTGCTGTTAAGTGTATCTCACAACGTCTTAATTTACTTTATCAACCTTTCAGGCTGTGACCTCCATGCCCCCCCTGCCACCCTTTAGGTGAAAAAGTTTCTCAGCTTCCCTGTAATAGTTCTAGCAGTTACTTTAAAAGTCTGTTCCCTGGTTATGAAGCTAAATATTAGGGAAATGGATCCTTCCTGCCCATTCCATCTAGGCTTCCCTTAATTGAAGCGACGTTTTATGATATGAGGACCACACAGCATTGGTCAGTGCTAATGAGATAGGCCAACGATTTGTTTCCATTAGTGCTCCATTAGACTAAAAGATTGACACTGTCACCTGTCCCATCAGTGTATGCGGGTTCAAGACCCACACAAAAGGTTTGAGCTCAAGTTCCTACTGTAGTTGTGGGGAGATATTAAGCAAAGACCTGTAAAAATACTGCCTGGCACTATTTTGAAGAACAGAGACATTGTGGCCAATATTTATTCTTCAATCGGCCCAACAGTCATTCTCATATTGCTGTGGGTGGGCTTTTGCCATGAGCGAATTAACTTCCACATTTCTGAAAATACCATGGCGACTGTACTTCAAAGGTACTCTGTTGCCTGTAAAGTGTTATAGGATGTTTTGAGATTGTGACAGGTACTATGTAGATTTTTTTTTTCCCCTCAGTGTCTTTGTTTTCTTGCCCTGTCCGTAAATGTTTGATTCCTGGAGGTGTGCAGTTCAATGAGCCTCAAATATTCGCAAGTGCCTCATGCAGTGACTTATGTGACTGAAAGGGAGTGGAAATGGGAGGGCAAAGAGAGGCATGACACTGATTAAGAGTATATTCTCACCCAATGTGATCAGGAGTTGAGCTGCCTTTTTTTTTCTCTCATCTACCCTTCACTATGCCAGCTCTGTCAGTCCACCTTCTTCTGCTTCGGTTTCTTGGGGACAAGTTAGCGCTGTCAGATATTGGGCAGTATGCTGATTTACTGAACAAGCTGAGTCCAAAACAAGGGGATGTAATCATCAAATTAGAGCCAGATCTTTCAGGGTGGTAGCAGGAAGCACTTCTCACAAACAGCCATGAAAATCTGTGGTTCGTGTATTTTATCGTTCACAGAATGTGGGCATCTGCAGCAAGGTCAGAATTTATTGCCCATCCCTGGTTACACTTGACAATGATGTGGTGAACCATTTTCTTGAAATGTTGCAATTTCTATGTTGCTGTGCTGTTAAGTTAGGAGTTTCAGAATTTTGACCCAGTAGTATTGTAGAAAAAGCAATGTATTTCTAAGTTGGGATGGAGTCTGATTTGAAGGAGAATTTGCAGGTAGCGATGTGCCTGGGCACCTGCAGCCTGAGGTGGTGAAGTTTGTGATTTTGGAAAGGTGCTGTGGAAAAGGAGCCAGGCTTTGCAATATAACTTCAGTCCCTCAGCCGTGCAGGATCCAGATTATGATGCATACCTACGACCTCCCCTTGTGGTAATCTGTTAATGTCACCTGTAAATGGCTTTAATAGTTTCCTGCAATTATCAGCAGCCTCCGAACCGTGGCCGAAACTTCCTCAGAGATGGTAACAAATTGAAGCTGGCGTCTGCTGAAAGACTATCGACTTACCATTTTTTTACACAGAAGCTGTTACTCCTCCATG